CTTGCCTCACAAACACAAAAGCCAAGATGCATGGACCCATTATGAATACGCTACTCGGTTTGTCTCTTGGCAAGAAGAGGTTGTTGTGAAGCTTGAACTCAAGCCAGCGAAAAGCTCCAAGTTGGCATGGGATGGGAAGAGGAAAGAGCAGTGGATTTTGCATCAGAAGCCATGAGCTCCAGCTCTGACTCTGCCACTATTGTGTCCCAGAGAGCCACTGTTTCTTACTTTGCATAATGAGAGAATAATACTTCACAGCACAGTTGTGGGGCTCATAACCCTCATGTGTGGGAATGCGGTGAAAACTAGGCAATCCTGCACCTGTAGAATTTCTGGCACTTTTCACCTCTCCCTGATGGACAAATTGCTGACAATTGAATATCAAAAACAGCAGGGTTGAAACTGTTCATGGATTTAGTACCTTATAGAGTTTTAAAACTAGGCTTGTTAGAGGACATTGTGTATGGACTATTATATCATTATTAATTGACTATGAAGCATATTATAGTTACCAGACTGAATTACTTTCAGTCTGAGAATTAATGTCATGTTCACATCTACATTGTTTAGATGTGGGGACTAGTCCAAGATAAAGGATCATAAAAGCACCAGTGTAAGCTGTCAGGCAGAAACTCATAAGAATATGTATTTATCAGCCACATGGAAGCTGGCTTCCTAGTTATTAAATTAATTAGCATTTATCATTGAGTTAAACATGTAAATTAATTTGAATCCTTCAGTGTTCTCATATCTTAATGAAAGTGGGAAGGTAAATAGCAGGAAAGATCATTTTAAAAAATAAAATATTATTTGAGTGTGGGTTATTATTGTTTCTATTATATGATGACAAACTCACATATGATAAACCTTAAACAACTTTATTCAGAGGAATCCACAGTTTCTTTTCAGTCCAGATACTGCGGGTTGTGTTAACTAACTCTGAAAAATTGCTAAATATTTGAAATGAAATACACTTATTTCAACAAGAAGTTATTGCATACTAGCCCTCTATAACAAAGGCTGATAGAGTCTTCTCCTGTAGCTAGAATGATATTTTGAAGTTTTGTTTTATATAGATATTTTACTATACATTAAATCATATAGAATTTATACCTTGATTTATAATCAAATGCTATAGAGGGATATATACAATCTAACAAGACCCAGTTAATTTTAAATCTGCTGATTATAGTCTGATTTATTAAGAACATATTCACACTTCATTAAATAAATGCATTGTTAAAGAATGTCTCCCCAGATAGATCAAAAATCATTTATTAAATTTTATGCACATCTATCTAAATAGAGGCTAGTGCACTTGGAATCAGTGCCGGATTTTCTACACTTTCTCGGCCTTTTGCAGGTGGTATGTTTCTGAATGTTCTTGAGTTTTCCTTACTGTTCTTCGGTGTATCTTGGATGCCCTCAAGGTAGCACAGTTATGATGTCCCGAAGTATTATTGGCCTAGCAGCAGCAGACAACCAGTGTATGTCCCAGGGCAATTGGTCAGAGAGAAAAGGGAAGAAGAAAGTCAGAGCTTCTGTGTTTGATGGTGCCCCTGCTTGTTCAGGAAGCACTATGAAGTGTGTCTATGCTATACTTTAGAGCTATTATTTATTTATCTATTAATCAAATACATGTAACATATATTTAGTATACATTTCTCCATTTACTAAATATAGAGGCATCTATATTTTTAGGAGTATCTTATGCTTTTTATTCTTCGTTTCTGATACACATTATTCTTTTTCTTATTGATATACATTATCAGTTATCAAATTAGCACATGAAGAGTACAGAAGTACATTGCAGAATCCTGGATCCCTTTCAGGGCTTTCTTTCAACATCCTTCCACCACAGCTAGAGAAAACTGGATCAGATCAAAACTTCGGAGTTTCTCAGTTCTAACGAGCCTCCCTGACTATGCTAAACTCTCTGTATTCTCACAAAACCAGGTTCTTAGTTCAACAGATGCAGTTGCTATAGAAGGACCAGATACCCCTATGAAGAGTTCTTTCAAGAAGTAGAAACTGACTTTACAGAGGAACCATACACTGGATAAGAGTTGTACCTAAAAACATTTAAGACCCTGCCATCTTTGATGCTCTAGTCTCTTATTTGACTGAGATTACTCTGCTGTCTTACCATAGGTTTTCCCTTTGGATGACTGACCAAGACAAGGACGTTTTTTTGGGAGTGGTTCCAGGGAACTGAAGTGAGGGTAAATTGGTGATGTTTTAAGCTTGATCCTGTTGGAACTCTGAGAAGCTGGGCAGAATGTGTCTCAGTATTATCCACTCAAAGGATGAGGTCGAGTACATGTGTCTTAGGCACGCTGGGCACGCTCTCCTAGGCATCCCAAAGAGGCTTTTATCTACAAAATATCATGAATATTTTGAGAGAAATTGATGATCCCCAGAATTCAGTCTTAGAACAATACTCCTACATGTGGAGTGAAAATGAAGCATTTTCCTCAGTGACTTACTCTACATACACTAGATGATGTTGTATTTCTATTGCTATTAATGTTACTTTTATTATCAGAACTAACTGAACTCTGGAATGTATTTTTGGATAGTAAATTCCATCCTTTCAGTATTAAAATGAGAAAGAGGGGCTCAGAAATACAAGAAAAATTCCAAAATCATACAACAATTCAGAGAAAGCCTCTATTTTTATTTTAAAAGATTCATTGACTTTTTGTTTAAGCCCTGTCCTCCATGCTTCACTGCTTTCAAAACAATACACAAAGCGTTAAACCAAGGTTTTATTTTAGTGACACTGGATTTCTGAGTTCCAAGATTCTTAGGGATGATGTAGTCAGCCACAATATACTGGTGACACTGTTAGCAAGGGGTTACATATTATTGGAGATTATGCAATTATGGCATCTATAAATAGTGGAGCCTCACTGTGTTGGACTTCTTGAAATACCAAAACAGAGTCTCCATTCCAATCTGTACAGAGCATGTAGTATGACCAAGACATTGACCTTTGTTATTTTAAACCAGTGAGATTTGGAGGTTGTTCATAGGATACCAGTTGGTCATATCACAGGATAACAGCCCATTACCTCGAATACATTTTGGGAGCAAAGTAATTATTTTATACTTGTCAAATTAAACTCATCTTTTATTGATGATCTTGTTCAGATAAATCAGGATTTTTTTTCATGTGATCGTATCTAAATATCTGTTAAATTTCCCAGCAACTGACGCTGATATTAATAGTGATTTGTCTCTCTGTGGTGGCTGTGAGAACATACCTCACAGATCTGTAAATAGAGGGCATGTAATTAACCAAGGGACTAAACCAGTGCTGTAAAAATCCATCTTAATATTTGTTCAGAGGAAATGTTTCTTATGAGCTACTTCTAACCTATGACTAACTATGGTAGAGATACTAGAGAAGGAACATTCTTAAAGACCTAGGACTCCTGACGGCCAACTCAAGGTCAAGAACCTCCTGGTGACCTCGACAAACCTTCCTTAGACTACATGTTAATCTAAGACCCTCACACCACACCTTCCCTGCCTCTCTTATTAGAGATCAGCCTGCATTGCAGTCTCACAAATATCCCAGATTATATTCTGCTGTGCCTCTATTTTTTCTCACATCGGCATTTTTCCTAATAAACTGAATGTATGCTTAACCCTCTCTTGGCATTGACTTCTTTGAGAACATGGACTTGCGCATTCTGTATACCATAACTAAGATTTCTCCAATTCTTCATTTGGTATTCTCCAATACCAATTCTTTCTGGGTCTGCCTACCTATTGATCAGATTCACTATCTTCGAATTATTAATTTTCTTTACTTTAAAGTCAAAATGTTTAGAGCTAGAAAATGCTTAGAAAGCTGATCCAAGTTTCTCCAAATGTATATCAATTGTGTCTGAACCACCTGAAGTGCTTGTATAAATGTATTAAGACCTGCTGAAACTGAACTTTCAAGGATGAGACCTGAAAACCTAAATTTGTAAACTAGCTCCCCAGGTGATTCTTATTGCACATGATGGAGAGTCACTAATTGAGTTCACATAGAACTACAATTCAGTGGAAGAAATAGTAATTCAAATTAGTCAGCTAATTAAAGTCAAAGTTCAGTCTATAAATCTCCAGCATCCAATGTTAGTACATTATTTGTATATTATACCAATTGCATTGCAAAGCTAGAGAAGTCCTCATCCTCAAAGATTTTGATAAGTTAATAATCAAAACTTACAGGAAACATGTTTAATCTATTTGGTACACATACCACCTGTCATTGCCTGAAAAAGTCTGACAGAGACAGACATCTAGCCACTTTCAAAGATTTGGCTAAGAGGTGACCAACAGTTCTGAGCAATAAACAAGGAAGATATTTAAAACCATTTTCCGTAAAGACATAAATCTAGAAACTTCACAGCTAATACAACTGATTTAAAAAGAACTTGAAATCACATCTGTGGGCATATTTTGGTATAGGCTTTTGAGTGTTTAGTTGATTTGATGTTTATTTTAAACATTTGAAATAATGAGGTCATGAAGAAGTTAGTCTAGTTATTAGGACCAGTTTAATAACTAAAGTAGATTTGTTGTGTACAACTAATCAATCCAACAAAATCAATTAATGATTTCATTGATCTAAGTTTGTTAAATTTCAGTTCCTATACAAAAATAAAAGGGTAAACTGAAAAGAATATTGATAATTGGAAAAAAATTACTCATTAAAATAAAAGAAAGTGAACAAACAGCAAAAAAGAAAAAATAGATGGGGACAAAGCTACAGTGTATTAGAATGTATACATGAAGAATAAGAACCAAATGACAGAGTTTGGATCCGCATTTATGTGGCAAAAATTACATTTGAAATCAAAATCTGTGACATAATAAAAATAAATGCTTATAATCAATAAACACAAAATTGAAAGGGCATTCATGGACTTAGAAAATGTTCATTACTGCAGAAACTTATTGCAATAACAACAGCAGAAGTATGGAGAATAGTCTGAATGAACTAGTCATTTTTAATGATTCTTTATTAATAATCCTCTTGTACCAGGCAATTTCACCAAGTAAATTATCTGATAATAGGAAGATAACTACAAAAGAGATAGGTCCAAGCCACAGCTACAGTTAGTTTTATTTTTTTTTACAACCAGGTTTTAAATGTTAACTATAATCTCTAATATAAATATTCCTTTCCATATACATGTATTTATATATACACATACCACACCCCTCATTCCCTCATCCAACTAAACCAACTTCCTGATGCTTAGTGGGCATTTAAGTATCTGTGCTTTCTGAGTTGAAAAGCTAGGTAAAAATAATCCTTTCATAGAATCAAAGCCCCTTTCTTTAAACATACCAGGTTGTAAAAATCACATATCGAAGAATGCATCCTTGGCGTTCTTGTAGCCAATTTCTATTTATCTGATATTATCAAGACAATGAAAAAACATAACTACTATACCCGAATTCTGGGAATCGAGAGAGTGAAATTGGGCCAAGCATGTCCAGGGAAAAAAGAAATTCTTCAATTTGGAAAACTGACGCTACATACCTCTGGGCAAGGTAACACCTTTCTCTATTTAATGTTTTCATAGCAACCTAAACTTTGTAACCTTTAAATTGACCTTGCCTGAGGTATATAGTCCTTATCACTTTAGCCTGGAACTCCCACTCTTCACAGTAACATTGAGTACTGGGAATTCCTGAGAAGCATTGTGACTGAGTTCAAGTTAAGTATCCTGTCTAAGTTAAGTACGTTGTCACTACCAGGTAGAACATTCAAATCAGTAAGAAATACTTTCCTAAGCCTAGTTTCTTTTTCACCTGTTTTTTCTTCAAATTAACAGAAGAAAGATAATTACCCAGCATATGCTATTTTATAGTCATTCTATTATTTAGACAGCAGTCCCCACTTCTCTGCAGAGGATGCATTCTGTGACCCTAGTGGATGCCTGAAACTGCAGATAGCATTGAATCAGAACATGCTTTGGTTCTTGTCTTCCAACTGCAAATTTAGTGCCTTTTGCATTTTACGTAAGCCTTTATGCACCATGACCGTAACTTTTTCAGTTTGAATACAGACAACGAAACTAGGATAAGTTTACTTTTCTTTATAATTTCAGAAATAGATGATCTATTCTTACTCTAGATATTAGCAACCTCAGTATACAATATTTTTCCTTTCCTTATTAATTTGAGAACTTTCACCTATTCTCTTAAAGGATGTACCTACGGCTTCTCTTGGGCATACCTGAATTCCCGACATCACTACTTTTGATCTTTGTGGCCATTTTAAACAAAACAAGTGTTGCTTGAACATAAGTGATACTGTGTGTTATTACTGTATCTACGGTAGATCTGATCATCAAGATGGCTACTAAGGGACTAAGGGGTAGTAGCTACATATAGCTTGGAGATGCTGGACAAAGGATGATTCACATCCTGGGTGCGATGGAGTTGGGCGGTGCGAGATTTTATTATGCCTCTCAAAACAGCATGAAATTTGAAACTTATAAATAGTCTATTTCTGGAATTTTCCATGTAATATTTTCAGACCAAAGATGACTGCGGGTAACTAAAATCACAGAAAGCAAACCGAGGCTAAGGGGAGACAACTTTACCATGTATAAAATTATATTTAATATACTTTCCTTTTTTTATGTTTAAAAAGAACTTGATCAGCAAGTAGGAAAGGAAAAAAACAATTCTGCCTTGCCAATCCATGAGTGGAATAGTAAATTACTATTTCGCTCATTTGTTTTTCAACCTTTCCCTGTCCTAAATTCATCAAGATCAAAATTAGGACACATGACAACAAAGAATTCCTTAATGTTTTTCTGCATAATCTACAGGAATATTAAAAACAAAATTGAAGTCAAGCTGCTTCTTCGTTCTTTCTATATGTGTCTTAAATATTTAATTTCTTCTCATTTCATTTTGTTTTGCCTTGGTAGCATTCCACATCTGAACTTTTTTACTTTCCTTGAGATTTGTTCATCAGTGTAAATATTTTCCCTGCAGTTTGTAACTACTAACCTTCTATCTAAAAGACAATCAATTCTGATTTATTGACATCACAATTTTATTCCTTCTTAAAGCACCTTATTTTCAATTCCTACTCAGTCATATTTCTACAATTTATTAGTTACTTAGCAGCAGCTGAGAGAAATCGCAATTTCAACTGAGTCTGAATACAAAAAAGATACACATTGTGCTGAAGCCTGTTCTTTCAAATCTGAGGTCCACGATTAGGGCTTTTTTGTGGTCCACAAATATTAAATTCTGTATTAATTTCATCAATACAGTGCACAATTATTATTATGGTTACTCCCTAAAAGCATCAGTAATTAGTTGCTTGTGTTCTATTAGTGCTTTCCCTAAATATACTGTTTAGATAAATATTACTCCTATGGAAGCGAATGTTTCCATAGGTTTTTCCTAGCTGAAAAAAAATGGGAAGAGTGTTTCAGTTACAATATGTTACCCTGTACAAATATAAAATAAAGAAAGGGTAAAAACCCTTACATGCAAATTTGAATAACACATATTAGAGCAGGCTTTTTACTTTGGGCAGCATCTATTGGACATCTGAGAAGCTCTTTTAGTTGCTTCTCTTCTTTTTATTTTTTCTTTTTTGTCATTTCTCTCTCTTTTTTTTAAAGAATACATCGAATGGTTTTTAAAACAGGAAAAAGTCATGCTCATGTCTTCCACCCACGAATTTAGTGCATTTTTTCATTTTTAATTTATATTTTATTATATATTTTATTTACCTTGAGGTTCTTTTTAACTGATTATGATAACTATAATACTTATAGCAAAATTATGCCACTCTGTTTATTTTCTCCTGGATAAAATATAAACTTATTTAGAAAGAAATTTAAATTAACTATAAGAAAAAATAAGATTTTTAATTTGTAAAAGTATGCTTAAAATAAAAACATAAAAGTTCTACTATTTCTTCACTTATTGTGCCATAAATTTGTAAATGCATTATTTGGAGAAAGACCTTTCAGAAGACAAATGTACCTATATTTATATGGAACTCGACATAGTTGGTCAAATATTTAACCTGATTTAACATTTAATCAATACATGTTTTTTTAATTATAGCAAATTACAAAATCATACAATTTTAAATTTTACCTTAGTTTTCTCAGCAATCTTATAGCTTAATATTCTTATAGGCATTTTCATTTAAAAGTTAAGATTAAAATAAGTGATTTAGACAACTATTTTGTTCTGACATGATAAAATAAACAGAACTTTATTTTTACAAGATTTATTTAACAACTACATAGTTAATGGAAGCATTGTATTACATCAGCATTGATATATAAAACAACAGTCTTCATGGCAAAAGTGTGTGTTTTAAAATATGCTGCAATCTTAAAATTCATAATGTTGAATTACCACAAAAGTACATTTGTTTTAATCTATATAAACCTTATAACATAAAAATTTAAAAGGGTTTGAACCTTAAAAAAAAAATACTTGTATTTCACTTGGTAATCGATTTTCCCTACTGAAAAACTCCTTTTTAATGCAAATAACCTTTCTTATGGGTTTGCCCATGCTGGTACCATATCTGATTTCTACTCAGAGTGAGTTATTTTCTAAAGAAGTATTTGCAAGCTGAGTGTGTATATACATTTATTGCAAAGATTTTAAGGGCAATAATAGTGTACATATTAATGTGAAGCAAATTTTTCTTTTTTAAAAAAAATTCACTTTCTTATTTCAAAACTTAAAGTCTGAGCAAAATTTGGGTTAATCGTTGAAACAAAACAACAAAACACATATCAAGACAAATTCTTTTTTAATTATCTTTTTAAAATAATGCAACAACATGTACTTCATGTCTTTATTATTAGAGCTTAGTTATCTGGAGAAATCAGGACGTTTTCTCCACTCACCTGTTTTGCACAAAGGTTTTTCACTCCAATTTGCAATTTCGTATTTCCATATAAAATTCGAGAAAGGATGGAGAAATATACCAACAGAAATGATCTGAAAACTTCAAAACACTGACTTTTCATTATCCTCCAGAATAGAAGATATCGTCCAAGGAGTGCTCAAAATCAAAATCAGGTGGCCCTTTCAAAAGTGGAATATGATGAGAGCTTTTAAATTTCACAGATTAAACGTTTCTAAGAGCTTAATGTTTCCTCTGCTTATTGCCACTGTGCCATCTGGCTTTTGTAATTGGTGTCCTGCCTCTCTGAGACAGCAGAGGGCGCTCTGGCATTGTTGACACCGGATACCTCCCGGTGCACTGCGCTAGCATCTTGTTCCCAGGAAGGAAACATACTATTTCCCTGGAGGGTTGTCGTTGAGTATCTCAACGGGTCAAGCTGTTCCTAAATTATTCCGAGAAGCTTTAATTTCAGACCCAGATGAAAGTTGAGATTGTCAAAGGACTCCCACGGCACGCCGCGCCGAAGTTCTCCCATTGCGAAGCCTGGGTTGTTTTATTGCAAAACTGCAGCGCATAGGATTTCTTTCATAGCAGGAAAATTTGTAATGGGCATCAAACTGGATGATTATTTTCCAGAGAAATAGAAAGTACATAGTCTTAAAAATCTAGAAACATCACGGATCAATAGCCACTCGATTTCATCTAGGCAACCGAATTACTAAATTGAGTGTTCCCTTTTTAAGTAGTATTTAAACCTCTCTCATATCATGTATTTCACTTCTACTTCGAAAGTAATTTTAAACTGATCAAGATTTCTGAAGGACGAGTTTATATGGTCCTAAACAGGTAGGATTAGGCTGAGGGGATTAGGTTTGCTTCTGCGAGGTAGTATGAATTCTAATGGAATCAGGCGGGACGATTTTGCAGCCCTGGACCATAGGTGCTTTGTGGACTATGCAAGTTGTGGATGCAGGAAAACAGCGCAATTGGATGAATATTAGAAAGAAAGGCCGGCCATGATAACGTGTAATGCTTTAAACTCATTTCCGCTTCCAACAACTGCCTTTAATTGGCACAAGAGGAATACTCACAACCTTTTAATTTTGTCATGCCAGCAGCCCCTATTTTCCAGTGTGCTTTACCTACCCATTCCCAAAATGGATAAAATTAAAGATAAACCAAAGTAATCGATGAATGTGAAAGACCTGACTTGCAGGGTTCTAAAATTCGAAGACAGATAAAATCCGCCCTGAGGCAGGGGGTGAGCAGACAGCTCTCTGAGGATATTGCACTTGGCCGTTCTATTTCTTGAATCTTAGTATACATCTACGTCCCGTGTGAAAAGAGAGAGAGAGAGAGAGAAAGAGAGAAGAAGAACTTAATGAACACATCTCTTTTAGGTCATTTCAATGCATGGCCCATTTTTGTATCTGGATCAAAATCGGTGTTGCTGCTCTATTGTCCAATCTGTTATTAATTTTAACAGCCTTTACGTTTGTGAATTTATAGGCAAACCTAAGCAAATGCATAGAAATTTCTTTTGAGAAATAGCCAGCCAGGCTGGCTACGAATTAGTTGATTTCCCGTCTCTCTCTCCCTTGCCATTTTGGTTCATTACTTAGGGAATTAAAATTTGTATTGTTTACATTTAATACTCTCAATATCTAAGAACGATGAAATAGGTTGAGAAATGTAAAGATTTTAAAAAATATATCAATACTGGCCCATCCAACCTTCAATTCCTAGGGCGAATTTTCACTGGATAGGATTTAGTAAACCGCCCTGACTCTTTCCGTCGCGGGATCTATGAGGATGCGGCTGCGGTCGGGTTTTCCGCAGTGCGGGTTTCAGGCCTCCTGGCCCTCCTGGCCCTCCAGTGCCTCCCGCCGGCTGGGATGCGCCGAGCAGGCTACTGCGCACCCGAGCGGTCTGCAGAGCTCAGCCCTCTGGACCCGTCTAACTAAGACTGCCGAGCTATAAACCTGGCTGAAGGTGGCAGGCTGCATGGGCTTCTGCTCTGTCTCACCTGGTGGGTCTCCGGCCACCCCTTTCTGTTTAAGTCTCGAGGCCCACACTTTCGTCCTTTGCACATCCCTTTGGTGACCAAGTCTGTGCTGAGATCCGCGTCTGAGGACCTTACATTTCTGTTTCAAGGAAGACGACTTAAGAAAGAAGAAGAATAATAAAGCCTTCATTCTCCTCAGTTTCCTTATTGCAATTCTGCCCACGGCAGGATTCAGGTCATTTCAATGCATGGCCTAAATAACTGAAAATGATTTCCCCATATACGTAAACTGAATATTTGTGTGCATTTCTAAGTGAAGACCAAAGAATATCAGGCAAGGGTAGCAACAGCTGGAGGGAACGATTTCAGTAAAATATTGTCTTGCTGAATGTGGACTTTCTCTCTTTTAAATTTTATTTTTCAAATTACCTAATATCCTACTCTTTTGAGTAGGGACGGGAGGGTCCTATGGCTTTTCCAGTCTAATTACGGAGAGGAGGGCCACGGTCAGCACCGCGGACAGCGCCCGGCAGGGAGGGCGCGGCCACTTTGGTGCATCCTCTTAGCGCCTCTCCTTTGTTCGCAGCCCCTGCAGGCCAAGGCAGAACAAAGACATCAAGGCTCGCTTTCCCGGCCTGGATGTTTTTCTTCGGCTCCAAAGCCGTGGTGCAGAACTACTACCTCAACATAGTCCACCTCAATGGCTTTCAAATAAATTAATTTACCGAGTCATTTTACAGTTTCTGACCTGGTCCTTCCCCCTTGTCCCACTCCTTTGACCGACTTGGACATTGCGACAATGCCAAAACAAGAGAGTTATCTTGGCGTTTTAAAGTCAGGCAAGGACGCCTCGAGATTGGGAAGAGAAAGGGAAGTCAAAGGAAAATGGGCGCGGCAGGTGTTCTTCAGATCTTTTCAAAGTTTGGACCGTTCATTTGAGGTTTCTTGCGCAATGTGGTCAAGACGCCATTTAATGTTACACCTCTCTCTTCTGTTTTTTTTTTCCCCAGGTTGGCCTAGGACTGCAATCACACTACCTGCTCTTGAAAGAACCAGTGCTTTCTAAATGGTTTAACTCTCTAGAATATTTGCACAGACGGGAACTACTGCTCTCCTGACAGCTGTCAATGCAGCTTCCCTAAAATCCCCTTCAGATATTTGCCTGCGGATTTCCGCGGCTCTAACGGAAGTGTAGGAGATTTTCACTTTCGAAAATCAGGTTGCTTCTAGAATCAGTGCAGGGTGGGGGTGGGGGGCATTTATGCGGCAAGGGATGGGTTCATCCTACCACCCTCTAAATTCCCTGCAATTGCTTTTTCCCCTTTCTGACCCTGAGACGCTTTGGTGTCCTTCAAGTGCAGCCGTAGGCTCCGCTCTTGGCATTCACCGCGTGCCTTAATTGTATGACATTAAATCAAGGTCCGCTGTGAACACGGAGGGCAGAGCCTCTGATCTTGATCCGGAAAGTATCAGACCCACTGCGACTACCACACTTCTCTCCCTGCCCATCCCCCTCCCTCCGCTCCGAGTCTCTACCCCAGAGTCATAACTCATAAGCCCAGCTCGTGTCTTCGCTCATCTCTGCCACATCTGCCAGAGCCGCTGTTAATTAGTCTGTTCCATGGAAGTGTAGACGATGCGTGTGTCTGCGTATACATATGCATATATCTCCATGCCATTTACAGCACACGCTGAAAAACATACATATGCCTATAAATCTAGTTTTCAAATGACTGCGTGGATCCAAGTTAATTACCCCTCTGGTACAGATCTAATTTTGTAATCGTGTTATTTTACTGAATGCAATTAACCCAGTTGGTTCGCCCTGAATCCCTTCTAAGGCACTTGTAAGGAAGGAATGGTAGGCTTTTAAGAACCACGCCATTGCATGTTCTCCGTCAGAACCATCGCCAATCATTTTCTGCTGTCGGGGACGAAATCTAGCATATAAAGGGGAAAACAAACATGTGTGATAAACACACAGATATGCCTGGTCTCTGTGTCCTCCAATAATGTTACCGCGGGTTTGGATGGGAGATTTTGGGAAAAGAGAGTCCAAGGGCAGGCTGGGTCATCTTTCTTTGTAATGCGGAAAAATTAACTCAACCGCACCTGCCTAGTCCCGAGAGAGCTGGGCGGCCCATCTGGTCTGGCTACGAGTTTGCTGCGGAGAGAAAAGGCTGCTCACTAAGGCTTCCCCACTGCCCCGGAGCAAGGACCTCGGGTCTGGAAGGGGCTTCGGTTCAGGGCAGCGCAGCGGATTCGCACTCCTCAGCCTGCGGCTGGAGTCGGGGGCTGGAAGCGCCTGGGCCGGGCGGAGGGAGGGCGAGCAGGAAAGAGGAATGGGTGAGGGAAGTTGACCTCTACGGGCGGAGCCCTCTGCGCAGCGGGCAGGAGGTGGCGGGCGCGACGGCTCTTTTCACGGCGTCCCCTACGGTGTGGTCCGCCCGAGGGAAAGGCCCGCTCCCACTCCAGAGTCCGAGGAAGGGAGAGAGAGCTGAGAGATGGTCTTGCGCAGAGACCCCAGAACGCGCCCCTGAAAAACAGAATCAAAGCTCAGTGTTAGGGAGGCGGGAGAGAGGAGGGGGAGGCTGGTGAGCAGGGACGCGAGGCGGGAGGGAGCACGCGAGGGAGACAAGGTGACGGCAGGACAGGACCCCAGTCTGCCGGTCGCGACCTTCGTCCCCAGGCTTCAGTGGGACGCGGAGGGAACCCCGCGCGCACGGAGCGCGCGGCCCGCAACCCGAGGGGAAGAGGGTGGCGCTGTGGCTATGAGTGCAGGTCCGGGCTGCAGAAGTCCCGAGGAGGAGGCCACGCGCTGCGGACACTGCCGCTTCCAGAGAAGCGACTTCAGGAGCTGGAACCGCGAAAACGCGTCCGCAAATGGTCACTCTGTGCATTCCCAGCCGTTCCCGCATTCCGCACCCCTTTCCCCAGCCTCACCCCCTCCCTTAGACCACACGCCAGACCCGCAGTCTCCAATCCCCACCCCTCTTGGTTTAGGACCCTGCAAACTGCAAGACCGGCAAGAAAATCGAAACAATCGATGGGAGAGAGAATTACATACACACATAGCCCTAGAAATCCGGAGGAGAGAGACCTGCTAGCCCTGCTCAAACCTGCAGAGGACCAAAACGTTTTCAATCGCTGCTCAGCGCGTTCGCGGAGGAAAGAGGAGGCTGAGAGGCTTCCGTGGTATAAGGTGCTTTAAGGTGGGAGGTGGGGGTAGGGAAGGGGTGGGTTGGAGCAGTCCGGTCTTTCCCCCTCGCTTGCTGATCCAGAATTAGGGATTAATGGCTCGCTCCAGCCAAACAAATAAGGCATCTGCCTTCAGCACAAGAGGATTACACGGGCTGCTGACGTCACCAGTCAGACAGATGTTGGCTCCCAAAGTCCTGAGCAGCTCTCTGTGTCCTTGAAACCAAAGAGCCGCAGAAAGCGCGCAGCCCCCAATTGCAGAGCCTGGGCACAGCAGAGGGCAAGCGCTCTGCCCTTGCCGACTACCCGTTGGCGCCAACGCAGTGCCTGCAGGCAGCTCCCTAAGACGTCGAACTTCCAGCCTCTCCAAAGGCTCCCCTAGCCGTCTTGCTGTCAAAATACAGGCTCCCTCAAAACAAGCCAAAGTCACCGTTCTCAGTTGCCTCTCCCTAACATGGAGACAAGCGCCCACAAACCAGTCGAAACATCTAGATCCCGCATTTAAGCTCTCGGGCTCCTTTTCACTCACACTCGGTTGGCCAAGTAACAGGAAAATAAGCACTTTAGGCCGGACAGAGCCCACGCTCCAGCTGAGGGACCGCCTCTTAATTATGTGCGCAAGCAGCAAAAGCAGAGCTAATCTGCATCTCCTCTTCTCAACCCCGCAGGCTTCCTTCCCCCCAGGCCAAGGTTTAGGTTTATGCTTAATCTTATCACGAATGCCTTCCTGGACCAATACGCCTTTCAAAACAATGACTCTTTGCCAACCTAAATCAGCGTCCCAACCAGAGCCCTGGCCCACCACTTGGTGAACCACGGGGACCTCACCATGGTCCTGATTAGGACAGGGGAAAATGTCATTGCATATTCTTCTCAAGTACTTTGAATACGTTGTCTAAAAATAAAATGTGTGTGTCTTCAAAATATACATAGCATCTAATTCCAGCAACATGCGCATTCAAAGAACTGCAGTTTCATTTTATAGCCGAATCTGACGAATAAAGATCAAAATTTAATCTTTATAAACTCCAAGGTCCTTTTAAATTAATGTAATTTTAACTTAATTTTAATTATAAGCTATTTTAATTCCTCTAACTTGTATATTGTTTTTGCTTTATATGATTTTCCAGGCCTTTACAGGTCACACTAAAGTCAGGTTATGAAATAAGCCAAAAGATACATCAAACTGGAAATTTAAATGAGCAATTTTCAATATTATGTAATCCACAAATGAAATGGTTTTAAATGAATTTTAATTCTGTAAAGAAGTAAAGGCTATTCAAACAATGTACAAAACAAAATAACCTGATCTCCATCATAGAACCACATTGAACCAATCCTGTGCCCCAAATATAATCAGTATATATGAAAAAACCTGTGACTTTCTTGGAAAAAAAGTGCTTGCCCACATTGCATATTATAGGGTACAATGCCTACCCAGGAGTAAAAGGAATAGCTGGATTATATCTCCATTCATACTATCCCTGTCTATCAAAGTGGCATTTAATTTTCCCAATTTTATGCATTTAGAAATTCAGTCACTGATAAAAATCAATTTAATTTTCTGTAGTGTCATTCAGCCAATGCCAACCTGAAATAGTAAAATTTCCCTATCCCCATACTGTTTCAAGGTCTTATATAAAACATTCTACATCTAAAACTGATAGATTTAAATTTTATATTTACCAGTACCAAAAGGTGGGCGTTATCTTATTTTAATTGGATAAAGAATATATACTTTTTCTCTTTGAGACAGGGTAAAAACTGAACATACGATTATTGTTTCTTTGAAACTTGGTAGACTAACTTTGAAATGCCACATTTTACCAGTTGAATTCCTTTTAAAAATCATAAAGATTGTTTTTGACTTCCAACATGTTTTGAATGTAAACTTCCACTTAGGTCTCAAAATTTTACTAGAGTCCTTTTTGCTCAGTGATTTAATATTAGTTCGCTGTCCATGGTCTTGATCCACATGAAAGGCTACGCTAGTGTTACCTTTTGAAAAATGAAAGTCACAACGCCTCTGCACAAATGTGACTCCCTAACATTTTAAAATGACATCAAAAGGGGGGAAAAGCTATAGGCTTTAAGTTAACTTCCCTATCCCAGTTGTTTTTAGTTTTCTATATTTGCCACCAAAATGAATGCACAGGAAGCACATAGGGGAACTTTGCATTTCATTGTTTTTGAGCTGGCAAAACCACCACATTTGGTGGTTTAAAAATTATTTAAAGATCCAAATAATTGTAGTAATTAGGAAATAATATCTTTCAACCAAAAATAATATCTTTTCAAAGTATCTTTCAATAAGTTCTGGGGGTTTTCAAAAGTGACAGACATTCTTGTATAGGTATCCTTGTCCACTTTTACATATGGTTTAACAAGTGCAGAACAATTGCAAAAATGACAAATTAAGGGGCAAAAGCCAGACAATGTTTTCAATCATCTCCCTCTTCATATTTACATCACTATATAGAGGCACATAGATCTCTCTCTCTCTCTCTCTCTCTCTCACACACACACACACACACACACACACACTAAGAGCATTAAACTAAATCCACCTCTAACACCTTACACTTCTTTTCTAGCAAAGCATATGTTCCAGTGACTAAGATGCAGAATAATTCTTCCATCCAAAATAGCATCCCATCTTCAGTTTAGAAAACAAAAGACTGACTGAGCAGAGTAACATTTAATATCTCCTGGGGTTTCCTCGAGGGGGAGAAAGGAGAAAGGAAAAGAACTATTCCCTCTTTCAAAAACGTAATTGTCTTTCATTTTTTATTTTCTCCTTCAGATTATCAGAAACAACTGTTACGTATATGTATGTATATATGCATATATAAATAGACACTTATTTTCCCAAACCCCAAAGAGCCGCTGCTGATCTTTGGAGGACACTGATCCGCACACACCGGGCATATCTGTGCTTTGATATAAGTACCCCAACGGTAAGAAAACAGGCCCTTGCTTTTAAACTGAGGTTGGCACCCACGCCAGGCCATGGGGCCTAGCCTCAGCGATTCTCACCTTCCTGGGCACGAGAAGGCTACTTTCTGAAGAAGTATTTCGAACTTAGGAAAATCCTTGTGCCGGAAGAAAATGGCCTAAACACAATAGGACTCGCCATTTTCTCCTTGTGAAGCACAAAGCGCTTGGCGCTGCCCGCCACACAAAGAAAGCCTGGGCCCGCGGAATTCTTGCACATTTTCAAGAGGCCAAAAGACACCTTCTCAGAAACACAATTTCTCCCTCCTGGGTGCCGTGAGACTCATACTCTCTCCCACCCTCATTCAGTCCTTGTCCCAAGAAGATCCCTTATTTGAGATGGAGATAAAAGACCCACCGAAGGCGAGATGCTAGCGTGAGAGCCAAGTGCGGCAAGAATAAATCCTGAAAACCGAGGGGCCCGGCCCGCTGCTGCCTGGGGCTCCATTTTAGGCCCAGGGTGGGGGAACGCGGATCCCCTCCCTCCCCTTCGGATTCCTCCTTCCAATTCCATTCTGTCTCCCAAGCGCGTCTGGGAGACCCTAGAGCTTAGGGATCTCTGTGACCTGATTTCCATCCATTGCCTGGAACCAACCTTACAGCCCAGAGCTGAGCAGGCGGCTCTCAAGGATGCCCGCGACGCGGGAACTCCTCTACTCACTGCCTCCCGCCGCCCCCCGCCTGCTGCCCCAAGTCATCGCATCAAAGTCAACCAGGATCTTGTTCTGCACGCCCACAACGGGCGAAACACTTCTCCAGCTCACGTGCGAAAAGTACAAGCTTCGAAGAAGCCCCTGTGAACCAAAACACCAAAACACAAGCAACAACCCGACTCACAAAGCGAATACTCCCAGCCCAGCCCGAGACGCAGAGCCCGGCTACCGCAGGAAAGGATGGTACTTACAGCCGGCGTGCGCTCGGGTAATCCGCGTCGCAGCCCGTGCGGTGGGTTAGTTGGCTTTTAAAAAATCACTACACACCTCTACGTATTTGATTTTACACAGCTTCCACCGGTAAGAAGGAATGAAAACAAGAATCTTGTAGCCTAGTGGGAATGGGGGAGGGGGATGGAGATTTTCATTGTCTACGCTCGCCACACGCAGCCCAAGGAAAGACACTCACTGCCGTTTGGAGCTCCTTCTACTTTCTGCTTGAAATTCAGAAGCTTCAACGCAGTAAAGCGGGGGTTTGGTCTCCCTCCCTGCCTCCCTCCCTCTGCGTTCTCTCTCTCTCTCTCTCTCTCTCTCTCTCTCTCTCTCTCTCTCTCTCTCTCTCTCTCTCTGTCATTTCCTTCTCCCTCCTCTCCTCTCCCCTCCCTCTCTCTTCTGAAGCTCGAAGTCTCTCTCTCTCTCTCTCTCTCTCTCTCTCTCTCGCTCTCTCTCTCGCTTTTTTTCAAAAGAGGGCAGGTCGCTTCCTGCATCCCAATGAGTTAAATCAGTCACTTACTTCTCATGCATCAGCAGCCTCTTTAACAACCCGAGGGCTGCAGGCACAAAAGAGCATTTAGCTGCCTCCAATTTGTGTAGAAGGCCTGTCCTTAATTTGTTTTTGGAGTATAATTAAATCATGATTTTCACATAATATAAAAATACCGAATTCTCAACTTTAGTGAAAGAAGTGCTAACGGTAACCTTTGAAAAGAAATCCCTCTTCTTGATGTTCTTATCAAGGGCCTAGAACGTCCCAGAATTGCAGAAGCCTAAGGTCTGGGCCCAAAACTACCTGCCCCTCCCCCCTTTCACACGTCAAGGTCACAGTCATATGATCCCCCATTGCTTTAAAATGGAGCCTTTTTTATCAACCCGTCGCCCTGGAAAGGAATTAAGTCTCTTTTATGGGGTGGGAAGATCTGAAGGATTAAATAAATAAATACATCCTTAACCTGAAATACACACGTCAGCAGAATCAAGCCTGATCAGACATTGGGATGGTGGCATGGGGGGACTCACTGGCCATGTGAGAGTGGTGGTTTTCGTCTCCCCCCTTCACCCCTGGCGAATTTTGAGGTCGCGGGGTTTTGCTTGGGTTTCTTCCGGCGGCTGCGTGGGCCTTGTGGAAGGACACGGCCGGCGCCTTTTTAGCTCCCAGACTAACTGAGGGGTTCTGCTCCCGGACACCGCCCAGTGGTCAGGGGGATCCTGTGTATGACTCCCCCTCCTCTAAAGGGGCTGGGGTACAAAGAGCAACTCTGCCTTCCTGCAGTTTCTCTTTCAGAAAGAACTCTAGGCCTGGCCATTGTTTCTTCTCAATGATGGGGGCCGAGAGTGACAACAGAGAGAGCCCTTCTCTTCTCTACACTCACCACCCACCTCCTCTCTCACCCCTCCCAAGGCCACTGCTGGGGAGAAATTTGGGAATATTTTCTTGCTCCGGTGAGATGCTTGTCTGGAAGATCATGGGATGTAATATCATGAATATCTCTGTTATCACTGTATTTTCTTCACTAGGATTCCGTTAAGTCGTCTGTGGGCTCCCTCACCCCCTCCCATTTTCCAATTCTAACAGCGCTTGTTCAGAAACATTGCACTGCGATGCGAGAGAGGTTAGGACCGCAGGAAACTGCATTTAGTTCCACCGAAAGGGAATGTAACAATATAACTTACCACTTTCCGCCTCTGAATATTCGCTGCTCTACCCTAAATCACCCTGGGGTTTTGAGTAAGGCCAAGTTTCACCTTGAGCATTTATCAAACCGTACTTGGCTGTTGCTTCTACTGCGGGAGGACGCACAGGCCGCCAACACCCACTTGACATCTGCTTGAAATATCCAACAATATCTCCAACGGGGTCGTTTGCGAAAAGCAGAAAACCAAAAATGAAAGAATTTTTTAAAATACAGAAAGAATATAAGTGTGTGTATAACATAATCCCATGATGCTGGGTTTGGGGGCTCGAATTACCTAAGACAAAACATCTCTGCGGTTTGAGTCCAGACCTAAGGCCTCACCACAAGGGTGTTTTATTAGCCGCAAGAGATCACGGTTTTTTTGGAGGCACTACAAGGAATGCGCGTCACTCCGCTGCCCTTTATCTCTCATCGATGATTCTCATTCTATCCGTTTCCAGTTTATTGACCTGGGATGCGGGACTGCTAAAGATCCTCAACGACTTGCCGAGCCTGGGGGAAGCAAAGTCACGCGGTGCGCACTCCGGCCCGCCGCTGGGAAGGTGCGGCTCTCTGCTCTGGTTAGCAGCAGAGTCGGCTCTGTGGGGTGACGACTTCAGACCACCCCGGGTGGGCACTTTACCCAGCATCCTCCCCTCTTCCGACTCTGGCAATGCCAGCTTTGCCTCATCTTCCAGGGCCTTGGAATTTCAGCCTTGTTGGTGGGGAGGCCTTGGGAAAGAACCCAAGCGCTAGGCGAGTTTCCCACGAAAGGGCCGCTTTCTCGCCGGCGGTTTATTCTGAGTCGAGGCCTCAAAGTAAAACAAGAGAGAGAACAGAAGCGAGCACCCCAAAATTCATCAGAGACTTTCACCCCACCCCCACCCCAAACAGATGGCTGGGCCGGGACACCTGCACTTCAGCCAAAGCCTCAGCCTCCCCGCAGCTCTCGGGATGGGGACCACAGAAGCGGGTCCAACAAGGTCACCAGCCACCCTGGGCCTAAATCGCTCATCTCCACCCGACCTCACCCCATCTCCAGCCCTAAGAGCCTTTTCGGACACTTTTTACTTTCGATGCCTGCCTGGCGCCCTACGCCTAGGAAAGTGAGAGGCCGATTCCTTTCTGGCGCCAGGTTTCGAGTTTGCCCTACTCTCAAACCTCCTCCTGCCCAGCGCACCTCGTCGCTCAGGCCTGGAACTTATGAAAATGTAACCCAACTCATTGCCAGAAGTTGTTGCTAATTAGTGGATAATAAACTTCTGTAGCCAGGGCACAAAAGTCTTTTAAAAGTGCAAAGGTGTTCTTTGTTATGGCATCAGAAAAGGGATTAGCATATCAATTGGACTGGGGGGACCGGACAATGAGCCCTCCTCCCCCGGAGCTGCCCTCGGTTCGCCTCCTGCCTCCGCCTCCTCCTCTTTGTGTCCTTCCTCCTCCTCTTCTTCCTCTGGCTGCTGGGAGAGCTGTCAAGGCTGGGTCGGGGAGTTTGGGCGGCAGTCTGGGACTGAGCGGGCAGGCGCAGCGCACGCTTCACGCCGCCCACCGGGCTCCGCGGCCTGCGCGGTGTCCGCGTCCTCGCCCTCGCCCTCGCCCTCGCCCTCGCCCCACGCCCTTCTCTGGGGGCTCAGCCTCTCTAGGCGCCCAGGCGTGAGCCTGGAGAAGGTGAAGCGCGGCGGGTCTGGGCGGCCACAAGGGCGTGGACGAGGCCTGCCCGGGAGGGCGGCCTTGCACGGCCCCACGCGGCGCCCCCTCCCTGCACTCGCGACCCGGGCCCCGCAAGCCCTTCGCCTCCCCCGGGAACGCAAATCCCTAACCGACTCGCACTCTTCTGGCCATCGGGCCCCACCCTCCTCCGGCCTCCACGCCAGACTCTCTGACCTGGTGACCCACGCTTTTTTGCGTTGGGAGGAAGCAAAGACCCTTAAGCCCGGGGCGGCTGCTTCCTTGGGAGCTGCGGGTCGGCTCCGGTGGTCCCGAGGCGAGGGCCCAGCCGAGGCGAGGCGGCTGGAGCGGCAGAGGCCCAAGCAGGGCCCCGCCCCCACCGACACCCCCTGCCCCAAGCCGGCCCTGCGGAAGTCGGCTCCTCAGGCCGAGGCAGAAATTAGAAAGCCTGCCCCGGATCAGGTGCAGGAAAGCAAAGCAGAAATCAGTCTTGGGATGCGGCCCTGGCTGGCAGGGCCTTGGCCCCGATTGCCGCCGCGACCCCTCCCGGCTGCCTCCGCCCTGGAGCGCAGGGCAGAGGCGCTAGTGCCTGCGGGACAACCCCCGGCTCTGGGAGCGAAGGAGCTGGGAAAAGCGCGGAGAAGGAAGGTGGAAGGGGGACACAGGCAGCGACGGAGCTCTCCGCCCGCCCGCGGACGAACCGGACCCGCCACTTCCCAGCCAGCCGCCGCTGGGCCGCGAAGCCCGCGCCACCTAGGCTACCCCAGCGAGGAAACGCGTTCTTTCCTTTTTCTTCTCCCCTCCCCCCTTCCCCTTTCTCCCTAGAGGCAGCTTCTGTCCTCTAAATGCATTTCACAAGAAAAAAAAAAAAAAAAAGGAAATCTCTGGGGCTCTCCTTCCTTTTCCACCCGTCTCGCTTCCTTCTAACACTGGTGTTGGTCGAACAAGTGCCAAACTCACACAAGTTTCCCCGAAAACGAACAGCTTTAAATGCCGTGAGGGAAAATGTCGGGGGAAAAAGTGGAGGTCGGTGTTTCCCTAAATGCAAAACATCAGAGAGGAATCTGAAAAGAGCT